ATAAGCAAACAAGAACTTGTGGATTGTAAACTAACTTGGGGTGCCTGAAGTTTGGAGAGTTGTCCTACCCCTGTAGAGGTATACCACATTGTGCTTCACAGATACTGCATTTGTTACAAATCGAAGGTTTGTGGCAAGCTTGCCTCAAGCAAGTCTGTCCGCACCATTTTTCCAACAGCATTTACTCACTTAGTGTCTCTGTGTTACATTCTGGTAATCCTTGCAATATTTCAAACTTTCCCATTATTACTGTATTTGCTATGGTGATCTGTGATCAGTGATCTTCGATGTTACTATTGTAATTGTTTTGGGCCACCACCATGTAAGACAATGAACTTAATCGATAAATGTTGTGTGTGTTCTGACTGGTCCACTGACCAGCAGTTCCCCCCTGTCTCTCCTTCTCCTTGGGACTCCCTATTCCCTGAGACACAACAATATTGAAATTAGGCCAGTTAACTTTAGGGCCTGCCGTGGCCCCTGAGCGTTCAGGTGAGAGGAAGAGTTGCACGTCTCTCCCTTTAAATTAAAAGCTGGAAATGACTAAGCTTAGTGAGGAAGGCATGTCAAAACCCAAGAGAGACTGAAAGCTGGGCCTCTTGCACCAAACAGCCAAGTTGTGAAAGCAAAGGAAAAGGAAATTAAGAGTGCTACTCCAGTGAACACATGAATATATATCTATTATTACTGATATGGAAATAGCGTGAGTAGTCTGGATAGAAAATCAAATCAGCCACAACATTCCCTTAAGCTAAAACCTAATCCAGAGCAAGGTCCTAGCTCTCCTCTACTCTGTGAAGGCTGAGAGAGGTGAGGAGGCTGCAGGAGGAAAGTTGGAAGCAGCAGAGGTGGGTTTGTGAGGTTTAGGGAAAGAAGCCGCCTCCATAACGTGGAAGTACCAAGGTGAAGCAGCCACCTGGGTGTAGACGCTGCAGCAGGTGATCTGGAAGCTCTGGCTCAGATCACTTATGATGGTGGCTACCCTAAACAACAGATTTTCAGTGTAGACGGAACAGCCTTCTATTGGAAGAAGATGCCATCTAGGACTTCCATAGCTAGAGAAGAGAAGTCAGTACCTGGGCTTCAAAGCTTCAAAGGACAGGCTGACTCTTGTTAGGAGCTAATGCAGCTGTGACTTCAAGTTGAAGCTCATGCTCCTTTAGCATTCTGAAAATTCTGGGGCTCTTAAGAATTATGCTAACTCTATCTTCCTGTACTCTTTAAGTTGAACAACAAAGCATGTCTATTTACAACATGGTTTACTGAATATTTTAAGCTGAGTGTTGAGGCCCACTGCTCAGAAAAAAAGATTCCTTTAAAATACTACTGTTACCGACAATGCACCTGGTCACCCAAGAGCTCTGATGGAGCTGAATGGGCAATGAGATGAATGTTGTTTTCATGCCCGCTAACACAACATCCGTTCTGTGCCCCATGGTTCAATGAGTCATTTCAACTTTCAAGTTGTATCACTTAAGATATTTATTTCATAAGGCTATAGCTGCCATAGAGAGTGATTCCTCTGATGGATCTGGGCAAAGTAAATTGAAAAACTCTAGAAAGAATTCACCATGCTAGATGCCAGTAAGAACTTTGTGGTTCATGGGAAGAGGTCAAAGTATCAACGTGAGCAGGAGTTTGGAAGAAATTGATTCCAACCGTCATGGATGACTTGAAGGGGTTCCATACTTCAGGGCAGGAAGTGACTGCACATGGGTGGCAGGAGCAAGAGATCTAGAAGTGAAGCCTGCAGGGGGTACTGCGTGGCCGCCCTCTCAGGATAAAACTTGAGTGGGTAAGGAGTTGCTTCTTACGGATGAACAAAGAAGGTGGTTCCTTTTCTTTTTTTAAAGATTTTGTTTATTGATTTGAGAGAGAGAGCAAGCACACAAGAGAGTGTGAGAGAGAGAGCATGAGCAGGGGGAGCAGCAGAGGGAGAGGGAGAAGCAGGCTTCCTGCAGAGCAGGGAGCCTGACGCGGGACTTGATCCTAGGACCCTGGGATCATGACCTGAGCCGAAGGCAGATGCTTAACTGACTGAGCCACCTAGCACCCCAAATGAGGTGGTTTCCTGAGATGGAATCCACTCCTGATGAAGATGCCATGAAGGTGGTTGAAATGACAACAAAGGACTTGCAGTATCACATAAACTTAGCTGATAAAGCAGCAGCAGGGTCTGAGAGGACTGACTCCAATTTTGAAAGAAGTTCTGCTGTGGGTAAAATGCTGTCAAACAGCATCTCATGCTACAGAGAAATTGTTTGTGAAAGCAAGAGTCCATCAGTGCAGCAAACTTCATTGTTGTCTTACCTTAAGAAATTGCCACAGCTTACCCATCCTTCTGCAACCACCACCCTCGTCAGTCAGAAGGCAAGATCCTTCACCAGCAAAAATATTACAGCTCACTGAAATGTCAGATGCTCGTTAGCGTTTTGTAGCAATAAAGTATTTTTTAATTAAGGTATGTATTTTTTTAGACATAATGCTTTACACGCTCTGGACATAATGCTTTTGCAGACTTAATTAAGCTTCTGTGTGCACAGGGAAACCAAAAATTGATTTGACTTGCTTCATTGCAATCTTGACTTTATTGCAATGGTCGGGAACCAAACCTGCAGTATCTCCCATGTATGCCGGTACCACGAGTCTCAGTCCGGAGCGCAGCTGAGGGGCTGCCAGGGGTGGGCTGGGGAGGAGCCAGGATTCCCAGCCGCAGGTGCGTGTTCTGGCCTTGGGCCTCAAACTAGAACTTCCACTTTGCCTGCCAGGGGCCCAGGCGGGGCTGTCTTTCCCTCCTGGGCCCAGCACCAGACTGGGTGGGTGGGGCTGAGTCTCCTGCCTGACTGGTGGCGTGGGGGGGTGGTGCACTTGTGAACTGGAGAGGCCTGGAGTGGGAGGGGATTATCTGGGGGGCGGGGGTGGGTCTGGGTACTGCCAGGGAAACATCTCCTGAAGGAGAGAGTTTCTGTCCGGGGCAGTGACCCTTGACCCTGGCAGACACAGAAGGACTCACATTTATTGAGCATCAGCGATGTGGCCCTGGCCTGGGTGTGCTATTTAAGCTGCCCGGAGTCCTGGGTGAGAAGGATTATTGTATCCATTTTACAGAGGAGAAACTTGAGGCTCAGAGAGGTTTAAGATTCACCAGGATCACACAGCTGGTCACTGACAAAGCCAAGATTTCAACCTGTGTTTCAGGGACTCGGTAGCCTGAGTTCTGTCCCCACTTCAGGCTGTGGCCTCCTTTCCACAAGCCACTGCCCTCAGATTAAGCATTTCTAGCAAAGACCCGGGAGGTATCCTGACAGCTCCAGGGCCAGTGAGGGGTGGACCAGCCTTTGGTTTCCTTTACAAACATTTGACTCCCCAGAAGGAGAGGAGCTGGGGTCTGAGGCCTTTTGAGCAACAGTGGAAGAGTCAGACCTTGGGAGAGTCTCTTCCCCTCCCTGTTTCCCCATTTCCCCACCATGCAGGGTCAGAGAGGGTATGGTGGTGATCAACACCTGGGGGGGGTGTCACCCAGAAGTTAAAAAGCACTTAATTTACAATGGGTTTTTAATTTTACAGAGAGTTTTATGAATGAGAAAGGCATGAAAAAATGGGTAAAGTCACATGATTTTACAGTAGAACAATCTATAAACCTTAGTCATCTCTTTCCCCTGAAGTTCCCAACATAAGCCCGGCACTGAGGAGTTTTATAAATAATTAATGAGGGGTGTAGTGAAGGGAGTGAAAATTGCTGTAGCACCTACTGTGTGACAAGCAAGAGTAATCCCCAGCCAGCCCCACAGGAAGCTAGGCAGGCCAGCATTATTGTCCCCATTTTGTCAAAGTATAAATCAAGGCCCGGACACATTGTGACTTCCCCAAGTGTAGAGGGGGACCTGCATTTTTCTTGTCCCTCCTTGCCTGTTTCTCTTTCCATTTGTTAGACTAAATGCCACTCCCCACCCCCCACCATATACTTTTCAGTTGAGTGGTCTGGGGCATGGAGAAGCAGGATGGCAGGAGCAAACGGCTTCCTGAGGCTGACTCACTAGGCCCTGTCGCATTGGTGCTGAGGACAGAGATGCGTTCCACACAAGCTCTGTCTTTGAGGTGCCCGCAGTTCAGTCTGAGGGGAGAGCTAAGCCTCTGCTGATATAAATTCAGCATGACCTATGCCTCGTTATAGACGCATGCTCCCTGAGGAGGGAGACCCGATGCCAGTGTCCTTAGAGGCAGTTGAGGGCCTTGACGGATGAGTTAGGGGGTGTGGGGGCAGAGAAAGGGCATTTCAGGTTGAGGGAACGGCATGCGCAAAGGCCAAGAGGAGGGAAAGTGTGGGAATTTCTTGAGAGCATGTGTGTCACAGTGTGGCAAGGGGTACAATCTGGAATATGACCAGATCTTGGGGCAGAAGTGACAAGAGGGCTGGGCTGGAGAGTGGGCAGGACCTGTGTTGTGTGGAGCCTTGGGCCCGAGCATTATCCCATGGGACATGAAAGCCACGGGAGGACTTAAGCAGACAGTGGCATGGTTGGATGATGGGCTAGGGAGAGGCAGGAGGGGATGCGGCCAGTGAGGCCCAGGGAACAAGGAACATGGGCAGGGCGGGGAAGGAGAGCTTGAGGAGAGGGGGTTTGGGCTCTGCTCTGGGAGGTGGGGCAGAAGGTGAGAGGCAGGCCCTGGGCACTGGGGGCACGACCTCAGGCCAACCTGTTGCCGAGCCCTTCTTGAGTCCTCACCGCAGCCTTGCTGCTCCCATCCCTGCAGAAGGGATGAGAAACTAAGGCTTGGAGTTGGAAAGTCACTTGGTGCCACTCAGCAGGAAGGAGAGGAGCTGGGTTCTGAGGCCTTTTGAGCAGCAGTGGAAGAGTCAGACCTTGGGAGAGTCTCTTCCCCTCCCTGTTTCCCCATTTCCCCACCATGCGGGGTCAGGGAGGTTATGGTGATCAACACACGCCAGCTACTTCTGGAGTTCTGGGAATTGGTGCTCTCATGTCCCTTCTCTCTGGCAGAACCAAGGAGAGCATGTACCACTCGCTGACGTATGCCACCATCCTGGAGATGCAGGCCATGATGACTTTTGACCCTCAGGACATCCTTCTGGCTGGCAACATGATGAAGGAGGCACAGACGCTGTGTCAGAGGTCAGGGCCAGGGGGCGGACAGGGATGAGGGGTTGTGAGGGCCATCCTTCTGTTACCTTCGCCTATCCGTATGCCTAAAATGCCACTATTAATGATGCTCCTTTTGGCTAAGAAGATGTGTCCCCAAGTGCTAAGAGCTGTCCCTGTCAGCTCTGCTTCAGGAGCCTTGTTGTCTGAGCCAGTCTCTAAGCAACTGCCAGGGGCCAGGCCTAATTTCATAGAGACGAATTCTGCCTCTGTCACATAATAACTCTTTGATCTTGGGCAAGTCTCTCTCTGGACTCAACTTTCTTCATATGGAAAATAGGTATAAAGATAGGGCCTTTGTGGGGACTGAATGAAGTCACTGGTCACAGGACCTGGTGCATAATTGGCGTTCAGTACGCATAAACTGCTTGAATGAATGAATGAATGAATGAATGGATGGATCCTCAGTGTTGGTGCACAGGTAGTATTGTATTTCATTGGGCACACACGCATGCTGGCCCTAGGCCGGCCGCAGTGCTGGGCACTGGCCACCCAGGGAAGCATCAGACCTGGCCCCTCTGACACCAGAGCTGGCTGGTCTGGGAGAAGGTGCAGCCAGTGACCTCCCAGCCTGATGCAGGGAAGCTCCAGGGGCTGTGGGGGTCTTGCCAGAGGAGTAGGAAAGGTTTCCTGGAGGAGGCGATGCTGGAGCTGGGTCCTAGAGGGTGACAAGGAACTGGCTGGGGCTGAGGAAGGAGGGGAGGGGCTCCAAGTAGGGGTAACAGCAGAAGCAGGGGTGTGAGAAAGCCTGGACTCAGTTGAGTATGTGTGGAGTCCCATGGGAAGGGTGGCAGATGTGTCTGAGCCCACCTGGGCCCCTTGCTCACCCTCACTGAATGACTTGAGACCCCTCTTTCCTCTTCAGGCACCGGAAGAAGTCCTCTGTAGCAGATTCCTTTAGCAACCTGGTTCACCGCCCCACGATGGACCAGTTCACGGAAGGTGTGGCATCTGAATGTCCTCTCACCCCCGCTGACCCCAGGCCACCCTGTCCTGGGCCCAGGGAGGGGTAGGGAGGGGCACTTAACCTCCCAGTTTCACTGAAGGGGCCGGGCCCTGGCCTAGGTGCTGGGTCAGACCTAGGGCCTTTGGACAAGTTGCTCTCAGGTGAGGGATGGGGGTCAGGGGTGCTCACTTACCGATGGCATTACCTGCTGAGGACCCAGAAGCTGGGGAAAGAAAACGCTGTCACGAGGTCCATGTGCTTTGCTCCTCAGACCAGGGTGGGCTTCGAACTGTGTGTATAGTTAGGTTTACTGGCCTGATGATCACAGCGATCTCCTGTGCCCCAGAGGGGAATGTGGTTTTGGAGGCTGGCCCACTGGGATGAGACAGCTGAAAGCAGCGTGAGGGATGGTCTAGGCCGCCTGTGTGTGGTGAGTGCCTGTGGCCTGGCGGTAGCAGCGGCCAGCTGTAGGGGGCGGAGGGGCTCTTCGTGCAGGAGCAAATGGCCTTCCCCACCCTCAAGAGCCCTTGAAGTTTCCAGCGCAAAACAATGAATATGACAGTGCCTCTCCCTCCTTCATGCCTTCCAGAGCTCCCCGATGCCCACAGGCCAAATGTGCAGCCCTCCACCAGCGTTCAAGCCCTTTGCAACCAGACTGCTGCCCCTCATCTTTACCTGTCCCCTCAGTCTCTCCTTACCTCACCCTGTTTCAGCCTTCTGTGCTTGGCTGTCCCCAAACATCAGAGTTTTTGGTTCTCCCAGGCCTCTGCCTTGAAAGCTCTTCCTGCCTCTTCCTTCCATTCCTTTTCAACTCAGATGGCCCGACTCGAGTGTGTGTCCTTCTGGAAGTCTCCCCTGACCCCCTGGACTGTGTTAGTTTTCCTTGCCTTACTCCCACAGCCTGTGGGCTTCCCTGGATCAGGATCTTCTTTGTTTATCCATTCAACCCAGGACCTTCTCCTTGCCTGGCACCGCAGGGGGTTGGCGCACAGCACCTACAGGGGTGCTTGGAGAACAAGAGAAGGAAGCCCAGGGCCCTGCAGTGCCACTCTGGGTGGTGGGCTGGGGGGAACCAGGTGGAAGGCAGGTGGGGGGAATGTGAGCTAATTCTGGACAATGGTGAAAACTGTGAAGGAGCCGGACCCCTCCCCTCCCACCCACCCCCCGGTGGGGGAGGGGGAGGGTGCTGATTCAGACTCCCTCTGCCTTCTGGGAAGTAGGGTGGGGAGGATTTGGCCCCTGCCACCTGCCAAAAGTCCCAGGAGGCCTCAGGGCTTTGGTTCTCTCCTTGCAGAGGAAGTCCATGCTGAGGTCTGCTATGCGGAGTGCCTGTTACAGAGGGCAGCTCTGACCTTCCTGCAGGTAGGAGCCCTCTCCTTGTACAAAGGGCCTGGGGATTTCCCATCAGTCACCGCCTCGAAGCCAGAAGTAGCCATAGCAGCCCCAGCCCGCCTCCTTGCGGGTCCGGGGGACTGAGGCTCGGTGACCCCAGCACTAGCAGCCCTGGCCAGGCTCACTGGCCACGGTGCTGGGCTTTACCCCCCACACTGAGCACATGTGTTCCCACCCACTGTGAGGATGTGCTTCCGCCATGTGGGGTGACCGGCATTGGCACAGAGCCTGCTTTACACTTGATTCATTCAACACGCAAGTTTGAATGGATCCAACTTGATTCTGCGACGTACCAGGCTTTGTGCGCACATTATAGCTATATGTGGTTTTACCTACCTTACACCGAATGCATGGTTGTTTTTACATAAATGTGCATATATTATTAAATCATCACCTCACAGGCCTGCAAAGGGGAGGTCTAGGGGGGAGGAGCCACTTTCACAAGGTCATCTGATTAGCACCTGGCAGAGCTGGGATTTGAACGCAGGTCTGGTCAGCCTGGAGCCTGTGCTCCCCACCACACGGCGGTAGTTATGAGAGCCGCCACCTCATGGTTTCACCAGGAAGCCTGGGTTGTGACATGTCATCATGTGAATGTGGGTATTGGGGTAGAGAGGCACATATGAATTTTATTATTAGGGTACTACTTATTTTTGTTAGCTATTGTTTTTTTTTTTTGTACCTCAGGTAATTAGAATTAGATTAATCCTAATTCCTTATTAGGATCACTGTTGATAATTGCATTGTGAGTGGCCTTTTATTTGTGTATTCTATTGCACATAATAAACAAACACCTATGGGTCTCCCCACCCAACCAGAAAACAGAACACAGCTAGCAAGTCTGCGAGGCCTCTGGGCTCCCCCCACCCTGTTCCCTGCCTCCCTTCATGGGGAAACCACTGCCTAGAGTTTTATTTATCATCCCCCACCTTATTTTTTAAAAATAGTTTTCTCAGCTCCCACTCATGTCTGAGCGGCATGTTGTTCTGTTTTTGTCGGCTTCCCGTCCCTTAGGCCCTCAAGCTGTGTGGGGCTTGCTTTACTCGACCCTATGTGGTTGTGTCATATTCCCTTCTAGAGTATAGCAGTCTGTTTATCCATCCTCCTGCTGAAGGGCGTTTGGGTTGTTTCTGGTTCCTGGCTGCTGTCAACACTGGTGCTGTGAACATTCTTGAAGGCGACCCCTGCAGCCCATGTTCATCATTTCTCTTGGGCACACCCCCTAGGAGTGGAACTCAGATGGGCTGTAGGCGTTGGTGCTTTAAATCACAAATGTGATAAATAGCTGCTTGTTGTAAAAAAAACAGAAAAATTAAAAAAAAAAAAACATCCCTCTCGCTTTCCCACAGTTCCTCCACCTAGAGGAGGCACTGTTAACCACTGGGAGTGCCTCCTCTAGGCCCTTCGTCAGGTGCTTAGCATATGTAACCGTGAGGCTGTGGTTAAGCCGTGGGCATTTTGGAGGTCTTGTTTGGCAAGGACATCCTCATCTCAAGTTCCAGGGGTTAGGGAGGCCTGCTTTGGCCAGCCCCTGACCCCATCCTCCCAAGACTCCTTATAGAGCTGGGCCCAAGGTGGGGCAGGCTGGGCCCAGAGGCTTGTATGATGCCTCTCAAGCCTGTGGCCCTCCGACCCAGGCCTGGCTCTTAGCATCTCTCCCTCCTGCAGGATGAGAACATGGTGAGCTTCATCAAGGGCGGCATCAAAGTTCGAAACAGCTACCAGACGTACAAGTGAGTGGGGCTGGTCTGGGGGCGCCTGGGTCCGTGGCGTCTATGACACTGTGCCCCTCAGGCTGCTTTGTGGGAGGAAGAGAGCAACTTGCTGGTGGCAGGAAGCCTAGAATGCCATGTGACCTCAGGCAAGATTTCTGCACCCTCAGGACCTCGGTTTTCCAGAATATTATTCCCCTGGTTTTCTGGGTATATCTGTTCATTTGGTTCCCCTGAGTCTATGCCTGACCCCAAGCAGGGGAAAATCAGACAGATTGTGGACAAACTGCTTGCTGTGGTAGGGGCTTGGAGGCAGGCACAGGGACTGTCGTTTTGAGAACAGCAATAGGACCCCTACACATCTGTTAAGGCCCAGTCCAAATGCTGCTTTCCTCATGAAGACTTCTTTGGACCCCTCCAGTATACACTCTCACCCTCCTGAGGGCCAGATCATTTCCATGCCATCTTAGCACTGGGCCAGCCATAGACCTTGTTTAATGGATAAAAGAAATAAGCCTCAGTATGAACACTTCTACTTAACATGGCACCACAATCCTTATCTACAATTCTAAAATCAAAAAAGCTTTGAAAGCCCAGTTTCTTCCCTCAAGTTTGGCATTAAAACTCATTTTCCTTTAAAAGTTGACTTGAATTGACTTGAGACTATGTATCATCTTATTTTCCCCATCTAAAGTGACTCTTTCCCTACAGAGATATTGTGAGTCTGATTTCAAGGTACTGCTGGGATATAAGACAGCATGTAGTATATGGGTGTTGCATTGCCTGGTGGGTCTGTGCTGGAGTTGTGCTCTGCCCCCGCCAGTCTCTTCACCAGCTGCCAGAATGATGTTTCCAAAGCACAGACATTGTCAAGTCACCCCCTTACCAAATCCCAACCCCCTCTTGCTCTTAGAATTAAGTCCCAGGTCATTGCTGAGTCATTCCCGGGAGCTCCTCCCGCCCTCCGAGCAATATCGTCCACCTCATTCTGCCTCAGACATTTGGGCCTTCCCTCACTTCTTCAAACATGCCAAGCTCGTTCTACTTCAGGGCTTTTGGACATGCTGTCTCTCTGCTAGGAACACTCTTTCTGTGCCAGGCTAACCCTCCCCATCCCTAGGGTTTCAGCTCAGATGTCAGCTTCTCAGGGAGACCTTCCCTGAACCCCAGACTAGGTCAGGCCCCAGGAGTCTTCTCCTTTGAAGAGCTCCTCACCCTCACAGTGACTTGATGGGGGTCCCTCTCCTAGAGTGGGAGAGTTGCGAGGACAGCAGCTTGGTGGCTTTGCTTCCAGATGCCCTCCAGTGCCTGGCACAAAGAGACCTCAGTCAGTGTTTGCTGACTGAAAGCCCTCAAGATGCTTATGGCCCAGGAAGGAGGTGGGCACATCTTTAACGCCTCTGTCCTGCCCCAGGAGGGCTGGGATATGGACTCTGTGTGACTGATGACCAGGAAAGAGAGGGTTGGATTTCAACCAAGAGGCCCCAGGTAGACTTCTTGAAGGATGGGGTATTGGAGTTAGCCCAGTGGCTCTTCACTGGGACATTTGGCAATATTTGGAGACATGCTGGTTGTGACAACCTTGGGGGAGGTTGCTCCTGGCATCTAGTGGGTGGAGGCCAGGGATGCTGCTAAATATCCTATAACAGTACAGACAGCCCCCCACCTCCACCTGAACAAAGATTTTATCCAGCCTAAAATGTCAGTAGTGCCAAAGTTAAGAAACTGTTCTAGAGAGAACACAGAGCATGTGCAAATGCCTAGACATTGGACAAGGCAGGTGTGCTAGGGCTGATAAGGCTGACATTCAGGGGCAAGGAGTATGTTATTATGGAGATGGGTTAGAAATTCCTCGAGTGTCAGCTCTCTGGATTGCCAGAACTGTTATCAGTCTACCACCAGGGAGTTCTGAGAACAGCTAGAAGTGGGGGGCAAGCTTAGTCCTAGCTGGAATGGGACCTCGCCTCTACTATGTGGCTGAAACAAGACTGTGCCTCTCTCCACAGGGAGCTGGACAGCCTTGTGAAGTCCTCACAGTACTGCAAGGGAGAGAACCACAGACACTTTGAAGGAGGTGTGAAGCTTGGTGTGGGAGCCTTCAACCTGGTGAGTGGAGGTGCCCCTACACCTGCTCTCTGCTGGCCTGTGGTGCTGGGCCCCATGCTGGCCCGGGGACCTAGCAAGAAAGCAGAGCTGTTGCCATCCTTGGACGCTTAGAGCTGGGGTGGGGTGGGAGTGGGTGCTGGCGCTGGCTTCAGAAGTCCCTCTGTGCATTTCTTCCCAAGTCAAGTTGAAAGCTTGAAATGCACATGGCGGCGGTATTTATAGGACCAGAAAAAGACAAACACAATAAATTAAGGCCTTTTCTACCCTGGAGAGCTGGTGGTTAAATATTGACCAGTAGCAGGGAGGGAGAAAGGCCTGGAAGCAGTGGGCAACCCACAGGAACAGAGAGCCAAGACCCCTTCCTGGGGGAGGTTGGGGAAGGTTCCATGGAGTGGGGAATATCTGAGCTGGATCTTGAAGGATCTGTAGGCGGGAAGGACACTCAAGGCAGAAGGAACAGTGTGAGCTAAGTGAGGTGGGGAGGCTCTGAAGCTTATTCTTGGGAGGAGGAGCTGCTCATCAATAGTTTAGACTCCTGCCCCAGGTGTCCAGAGACCTGTCTGAAAGTGCATGTGAGGCAGGGTGTGGCTCTCTCCCCTCTTGGCAAAGCCTGTTCCAAGAGCAGGCCTTGGGGTGGGGGTCCCTGCCCTACTCTGGGTTCCAGTTTCCTTGTATGTGGAGTGGGAAACTGGGTTCCAGTTTCCTTGTATGTAAAGTGGCTGAGAAGTTCAAATTGCAGAGTTCATCCGATGCTTTAGCAGGTTATGGCCAGGCTGTCCTGGGTTTGAGAACTGGCCCCCCTCTGATGAGCTGTGGGGCCCTAAGCATGTCCTGTCACTTACCTCTGCCTCTGTTTTTCTGTCTATCAAAAGGGACAGTGATCTTTTTTGGCAGGACTGTTCTGAGGATCAAATGCAATGACAGAGCCCCTGGGGATTCAGTGCAGGGATTCAGTGTGACAACTCCAGCTTTCATGTGCTTTACAAACCTTAGTTTGATCCATCTTCACGGTACCCGTAGGAGGAAGGGGCTATTATTATTCCCATATGAGGAAACTGAGGCATAGAGAGGCTATGTAGCTTGCCCAGGGTGACCCAGTGGGTGCGGTGAGATTAGGATTTAGACACAGTTTGCTCCTAGTTGTCACACTGAGGTGCTTCTCCATCCGGGGAAGTTGGCTTTCTGGGAAACCTCGGGCCTCCTTGTGGGCATTCTGGAGATAGGTGCTCCCCCAGGATTACCCACGGGACTCTGGAGTTTGGGGAGTTGGAGGGACAGCTCCCACCCCTCCACATGCCCACCTGCCTCTGTTCCTACAGACGCTGTCCATGCTTCCTACCAGGATCCTGCGGCTGTTAGAGTTTGTGGGATTTTCAGGAAACAAGGTAACCGCCTGTCTTCTGGGACTCCTGACTGGCTCAGCTGGACAGGGTGGGGCTGAGGGGCCGTAGGCCCTGTGTGTCGGTCCTGGCACAGCCCCCCTCAGTTGTGGCCCTGGACAAAGCCCAGGCCTCTCTGAGCCTCCATCTCCTCTCCAGTGAAATGTGGCCAATGATCCCTGTCCAGCCCCACACAGGGTGAAGAGGCTGTAGGGTAAGGACGGGTGTGAAGGGCAGCTTCGTGCAGTGGCCTGGAGTCATGTTCTCTGAGCCTTACAGGTGTCAGGAACCTAGTCCTCCTCCCTTTGGAAGACTTTGAGCAAGTTCTTTCCCTTGAGACCATTTTCTTGTCTGAGAGATGCCTAAGAGAAGCACTACCATGCATCAGGCCTTGGGGGCAGAAACCAGAGGACGCAAGCACCCAGAGACTTTGCTAAAGGCAGGAGTCTGAGTACTAGGTAGCAAATCAGGGAGAGGTCCCTGGTAGAGGAGGCCCCTCATTGTAGAAGGAACCGTGGCCTGGGAGTCAGCAGTCCTGAGTCAGTCCAGCCTCATCTCCTCCTCCTCCTCCTCTGGGTCTTTTTGGGTAAAACAAGGGGCTTTTTTGTTTTAGACTGATCAGTGTTTCTCAAACTTGAACTTCCTCTTGCCTTTCCTGATTTTTGCCACAACTGCAGACCTCGATATTATTATTTATGATTATTTTTCCCAAAAATGGCTCATATTTTTTACTTAAGTTTATCTAAAGGAAACACTACTACAAGGAAAACCCATGTTATTTGGCATGATAAGAACATAATCATAACCATAAGCAATCTTGCGAGAGCAGGCTGTAGGATCTACCGACGCCGTTTTCCTGTGGGAAGAGGTGTTGAACACACACCCGCACAGGACTGAGGCTTTCTCCTGGACACCATCAGGACAGATAGAGAACTGGGAAGGGAAGACCCTCACTTGGGACTCTGAGCCCCATGTCTGTCTGGAGACCTCTCTATGGTCCGTGGCCCGGGTCCCAGGAAACACCAGCTAAAGGCTCCAAAGGTCTCTTTTAGTTTTGTTTTCTTAAGAAGGCCCTTGAGTCCTGAGAAGGGTTTCGGGATGATGACAGGACGGAAGAGCATGAGAAAGGCCAAGAGGTGGGATGTGTGGCCTGCCTGGCTAGGAGGAGAGCGTGACGAGACCAAAGCGGGAGAGACCTCAGACACTGGCTCTGGCTTCATCTTTATCCTGAAGGCAAGGAAGCTATGGAGGGTTTGAGGCAGGCGTGAGGTAGGTCAGATTACCCTGGAGGACAGATGGGGGCAGAGACTGCAGGCAGGGATACAAGTGGAGTCTGGCCTCTCCTCCTCCCCAGCCAGGCTCTAGAGCCTTCTCCTCCAGGAAGCCTTCCCAGACTGCAGTCCTCGTGGTCCCATCTGTGCTCTGAGCCTCTGGTTAGGATTATCTGCCTCAAGTGGAGTCTGGCCTCTCTTCCTCTCCGACCAGACCCGGGGCTGCTCCGGGCCTCAGTGCTCACCATGGGGGCCAGCAGGTGAATAAAGGCAGGAATGGGGAAGGGGCTGTTGAGGAAGTAGGGGACACCTGGACCCAAGCCTCCGCCCTGGCCTTGGCACCCCAGGAAGGTGGCTGAGGCAGCGAGAGGGGCAGCCTGGCTCAGGGTGGCCCAGCCCGGGGTGGGGGCCGGGGGGGTGGCTGACCTGGCCGGCGGGCTTCCAGACGCGGAGTCCAGCGCTCTCGTGCCCCTGCTCCAGCAGCACGGCCCTCCCAGCTGTCCGGTGGGCTCCCCGGCCCCCACCGCACCCTGGGTCTGGCCTCAGCCTGTGGGTCTCTCTCCGCCAGGACTACGGGCTGCTGCAGCTGGAGGAGGGCGCATCGGGGCACAGCTTCCGCGCTGTGCTCTGTGTCATGCTGCTGCTCTGCTACCACACCTTCCTCACCTTCGTGCTCGGTAGGAGCGCCCCCTGTGCAACAGTGACAGCTGGGGCGCCTGGGGCTGGGCTGACTCTAAGGGCAAGGAGCTGCAGACCCTGCCAGGGCCCACAGGACTGGGGGTGGGGCGCTGGAACCAGAATCAGCAGAGCGCCATCAGCTGTCTTGGGGCCTGGCCTGCCGACCACTCACTTCCTCACAGTGTGCCTAGGTTCCAGCCTCCATTTTGTCCTCTGGGAAATGGGGATGGTCATGCCCACCTTGTAGAGGGTGTGAGGACACTGTAGGCAGGCCCTTGGGGTTCTGGGTACTACCCTGGTGGGCACAGACTTTTGGTTATTGAGCTTTGTGGTGTGCTGGGGCAATACTGGCACCGTCTTACTTAATCCTCACATCACCCTGGAGGTAGGAGAATTATTATACCCATTTCCCAGAGAGGGAAGAGGAGGCCCCAAGAAGTCCCTGGTTGATTGTTGGGGGGATTCCAAGAGCCAGTGGTGGTGATATGTGCTGTCCCCTCACCTCCTTCAGGTACCGGGAACGTAAACATCGAGGAAGCAGAGAAGCTCCTGAAGCCCTACCTGAGGCGATATCCTAAGGTGAGTCTCCGCCCCCCCCAAACCCCCCCTCCCTGGTCCATGTGTGCCCTGCGCACCCACACAGACCCACGTGCGTGTCATTGCAGGGTGCCATCTTCCTGTTCTTTGCAGGGCGGATTGAAGCCATTAAGGGCAATGTTGACACAGTGAGTAATGGGCATCTGAGCCAGGGCTGGTGACCCCTTGTGGTCTCCCAGACCAGCGGGCAGAGACTGGGAGGAGGTCTCCAAGAGAGAACCAACAAGAGGGCAGGGGCGGGAGAAGCAGTTCAGAACGGGACCGTCTGGAGAGATGAGGGAAGAGGGGGCATTCGCTGTAAGATCTGACAGTGAGGTGCAGGACTGCCGCATTCCCGCACAGGGGGGTGAGACAGAGGGTGGAAGCCCCACTTATTCAGGGCTTGGTGACAGGCACTGTGAATGGAGCAGCGGTGCCAGGGTGTGAAGTGGGCACCTTGATGACCTGGCTAAGGAGTCTGAACTCCGTAGATGGGAGGGAGCCATCGAAGGGGCTCGAGAGGGGAGGGACATGGGTCTGGCAGAATCCCCAGGAGGGACTGCACGATGTAGAGTTCTGGGGTCTCCAGCTGGCCCTGGCTGTGGTTCCTCAAGCAGCAAGACAGATGCCCCGAGTCCAGGTCCTTTCATGGGAGCTACTGGAAGCTTCTGGAGTTTGTTCTGAGGCACAGACATTGTATCGCTTTCATATTAATACTTTCCACTGCCTCCTGTCCTTCCATTAGAGCTCTTTCCCATCCTTTCATTTTGTGCCCAAAGACTAGAGTCCCAGGAAGGGGCAGTAACTGGGCCCGGGGTTGTCCTATCAGTAAGACTTAGTGGGTAGAACCAGGCCTGGAGCCCGGAACTCCCATCCCATCCCCTCAGCGCTGCCCCCCTCCCCCCGAGCCTGGCACAGGGCTGGGCCACCGAGCACTGGAGGAGGCTGGGCCGCCGAGCACTGGAGGAGGCTGGGCCTGCGGGGGAATGGGGCAGAGCAGTGGGGCCACAACGCTGACCAGCAGCTGCCCGCAGGCCATCCAGCGGTTCGAGGAGTGCTGTGAGGCCCAGCAGCACTGGAAGCAGTTCCACCACATGTGCTACTGGGAGCTGATGTGGTGCTTCACGTACAAGGGCCAGTGGAAGATGGCGTACTTCTATGCCGACCTGCTCAGCAAGGAGAACTCCTGGTCCAAGGTGGGCTGACACCAGGTGCTGGGGCCGCTGGGGGGCCAGGCCAAGCCAGGCTGGCCACGAGCCCCCAGACCCAGGGCCAAACCCTTAACTGAAAACAGATGTCTCAGCTGGAACTTAAACCGAACCATAAGTTCTAAGAGGACTCAGGGTTGGTAGGAACTAAAGACTGTGAGGAGCAGATAAAGTTTAGAACTACAGTGTCAGTCAAGATTTTTAGTCACAAGGGACGGAAGCATGGCTCAACTGTCTAGGTGAGTGCTGTCTGATAGAATGTTCTGTTATGATGGAGGTAGCCCCCAGGTACAGGCACACCTATACCTGCAGTGTGCTGGTGTGACTGGGAAACTGGCTGCTTTCAATTTTATTTAATTTAAAAAGTCACATGGGGTTAATGGCCACTGTATATGGACTATGCAGGTTGAAAACACCAAAGGCTCTTTGGTTCACAGAACTGAAAATTCTAGGCACAACTGATTTCAGGTAGGGCTGGATCCAGGAGTTCAAATTATGTCATCTGGGTTGACATTGTTCCATCTGTGGCTGTGCTCTGCTCTGTGACATCTTCGCTGTGCAGGCGGGTTTTCTCCATGTGACAGGCCGGGTGGCCACGGACCGCCTGCCCCTGACTCACATCTTCCCTTTGGTTTCAACCATAGTCCCACAGTCGAGGCTCACTGGTCTGGCGTAGGTCACGTGTCAGTGTCAGTGCTCAGGAACAGGGGTGGGAAGACTCCTCGTGGATCAAGAGTAGGAGAGGGGTGGTTCTCCAGAAAAAAATGAGGTGATGTCCCCAGAAAAAGTGTTGGTTTGTGGGAAGAGGCATTAAAGAGATGCTATGAAGGCAAAATAAAGCACAGCAGATGCCCACAATAGGTGAGAACTTACAACATTATGGTAAGTGGTAAAGTAAGTGTTAGCCATTATCGTCCCAGTAATGATAGCACAGAATGCTAAACTAAGAATCATGAGATCATCAGAGAGCATCCAATTTGGTATTGGCAAATATAGAGAACATGGGTCTCAATGACCTTAAATCCTGATTTCTCATCCCTCCCCCACCTTTTCAGTACCCCTGTCCAGGGACAAAGCTGAAAGGGAATTCTTTGGGTCTGGGGCAGGCGGGGCCGGAGGAGTGGGCAGGCTTTCACTGAGCTTACTGTGTGCCCAGCACTTGCTGTTTCTTCCACATGAGGTAGAAGTTACCTCCATTGGGTGCACAGGGACATGGAAGCCAAGAGAGGGTATGTGACTTTCCTGGCCCACACAGCTGCCGGTGACAGACACTGGATTTGAAGACAGTTCTGTGTGACTTCAAGGCCTTTGCTTTTCCCTTGTTCCTTAAGTCACACCGAGGAGGCCCTTCTTGCCCTGAGACCACCACGCTGTTGAAGGTTCCCTCAGACCCAGCGCCTTTGGGCCTGAGATTCATTCCTCATCCCCTCCCATCCCCAATGGGAACACCACCTCAGGGAACCTTGTTGAACTAAAGTGACCTAGAAGCCTTCCTGTGGAGGGAGGCAGGCAGCTGGGCTCACATACACAGGGAAGAAAAGGCCCAGGGTGGCCTTGCAGCTGCTCGGAGGAGCCGAGGTGGGGCCAGGCCTCCCAGGTGTCAGGAAGTCTGGCTGTGAGTCAGCTCCATCGCCAGCTCACTGTGTGGCTTTGAGGTGGCCAGCCCCCCCACCCCCAACCCGCAGTGCTTTCCTCAGAAGTGTTTCCTGTGAAAGTGGGGGTTGTAGCACCTCGAATTGTAGCACCTCGAATACTGGGGCCTCGTTTATTCCTAATCTGCAACACTTGGCCACCCGAATCCACCAACTTCCAGCTCTAGGAACTTAGCGTACGGCTACTACTGTACACATCAGCCCCTCTGCTCGGCATCCCTCTTTGACTGGACTGTGCCAAGTCATCCGTGTGGAGCCTTCGCATTTTCCCCAGTGCTTGCAGCTTGAGATGGCCACACGCATAGTGGAGACAGTGGTGTGCTGAGTGCCATAGTGAGGAAATCTAAGGGGAGCTCAGAGGCAGCCCTGGGCAGCCCAGCCAGGAGGACAGAGGAGGATTTAGGGTGGCAGAGTGGAGGAAGTGGAAGGGTACTCCAAGCGAGGAGAGCAGCAAGGACTGAGGCTTAGGAGCTAGGGTGCTGCCAAGAGGTTCTGTGTCACCAGGTGAAGGGCTTTGTGGGTGGGAGTGCAGGGGTACTGTGGAGGGACTTTCCCCCTAAGTCACTAGCTGTAAGCTTCTTGAGGACAAGGAATGTCTACACAGAGCCTGGTAGAGTAATCCATCAAAATAAATGTGTGGAATCGTTGGGCAATCAGATAAGCCTGGGGAGACAGGACTCTCACCCAGGGAGGTGGCTGTTTTCCATCAGAGTGGCCCCGTAGCATCCCTTGATAACTTGGGATGCCTGTGGGTCTCAGAACTCTAGGGCACTGCATCCATCCTAACTTCTGGTGACTCAATGAGGGTAAGTTGTTTGGGGTGGCGGAGGGGTAGCAGAAGGCTCTTCGAGGAGGCCAGCGGATGGGCCTGGTAAGGAGGGACAACGGCATCCCAGGCAGAGGATGGCACAGGTGAAGGCCTGTTTAAGGGAGTTTAAGGACTGGTGGGGGAGAAATGGCAGAAGAGGAATCAGAAAATCAGGTCACAAAGGGCCTTGAGTAGCTGTTTGGGCTTTAGTCTGAGAGAGGGGGAGCCCCTGATGTTTGTGGCTTAGATCTGTGCTCTAAGAAATCCCTCCTGCAGTTGTTGGGCACCCCATGGGCCAGGTCCTGAGGACATCCAACAGTGAACAAAGCAAAGAACCCTCCATATCAAGGCTCATACTCTAGTGGGAAGAGGGATAAGAAACACACAAATAGGTGTACAGTATAATGTCAGGCTGGTATATGCAGTAAAGAAAAATCAGGCAAGGCCTGTCTGAGAACACACCAGAATGAAGTGTGGGAGCAAGCCATGTGGCTTTCCTAATGAAGAGCATTCCAGGCAAAGGACACTGAAGATGCAGGGGTGGGGGAGGTGAGTGCATCTCAGGTGTTCTGGGAACAGCCCAGAGGCCAGTGTGGCTCGAGTGATGTGAGTGAGGGGGAAACAACGTGAAGTTGGAGAGGAGACTGGGGGAGGCGACGGGGTAGGGGCTTACAGTCCATTACAGGGAGTCTGGATTTTATCCTGAGCATTATGGGCTACCAAGATTTCCAAGAGGAACTGACATGACCTGACTTAAAAAAATCAAGAGTGGGGGCGCCTGGGTGGCTCAGTTGGTTAAACATCCGACTCTGATTTTGGCTCAGGTCATGCTCTGAGGGTCACGGGATAAAGCCCCATGTCGGACTCCACTCTCAGCATGGAGACTGCTTGTCCTTCTCCCTCTGCCCCTTCCCCACTCGCGCTCTTTCTCTCTGTTAAATAAAATCATTCAATAAAAAACAGACTGGCGGTGGTGTGGAGATGGCTCGCAGGGACAGGGATGGGAGCAAGGAGATGGGTTAGGAAACCAAGTGGACAAGGGTGGCCTGGAGCGGCCATGTGGGGTGGAGGCTGGTGCGGTGAGTGAGGGTGAGGCCCGTGGGGTTCCAGAGCTACGGAGGAGGCCAGATCATGGGGACTTGCTGCCTCAGTGCCAGGCAGAGAGGGAGAAGGTAAGGATGACACCAGGAGGTTAAAGACGGGATGAGCAACAGGTTTCAGAGGGGGGGGATCTTACCACCCCCCCCTGCAAAGACCAGCTTTTTCCTCATTTTGTGAAGGGTAGATGGAAGCATGGAGGGCAGAGTGGAACTAGGAGTAGCCCTGAGCTTCAGCCTGAGAGGGGCCCCCAGGTGGAGGCTGCTTCCTGCCTTCTCCTGAGACTCCTGAGACTCCGCGAGGTCCTGCTCCCTTTCCTTCTCCACCCCCTGTACTTTTCTGTGAGCCACTGGCGGGTTCTTCCTCCACAGCCCCTGGTGGCAGGAGCTGAGGCTCAAGGCTCGGCCACTGGGGGGCAGGACATAGCCAGGTTTCTGGAAGGCTGGACTCCTGGGGAAGGGGAGCAGCTTTCAGGGATGTACCCTGGGGTGGGGATGGGGGGTCTCTGCACAGCTGCACCTTCCCTGTCAGGGCTGGCTGTGGATCCAGTGGGCAAGGCCCTGGAAGCACACAAACCTGGGTTCACTTCCAGCTCTGTCCCCAGAAGCTCTGCAGTCCCAGCCAGGAAGCAGAGGCGAGGTACAGATTCCTTTCTGGCATTGTCTTTGGGATCAAGTGAAGTGAGGTGTGTACAGTGCCTGGCACACAGGAAGGCAGGTATACGCAGGGACCCTGACTCATTCTTCTGGCCTCCCACCTCTGTTTTTAGGCATTCCATACTTTCCGCTACCTATTTGTCGCCTTCTTACCACACATCTCCGCCCCTCCCTGGCTTTGCTCAGGCTGTTCCCCTCATCTGGAAGGTCCTTTCTCAGGTCTCTGTGAATCTTCCCATTGGCTCTCAAGAGTCCAGTCTGAAGGAATTGCTTCCCAGAAGCCCTTACTGCCCTTTGTGTGTCCATCCTCGCCTCAGCACCGCCCCGCACACCTACTAGTTGCCTGAGTCCTTCCCTCCGCTGCATCAGAGGAGAGAGGGAAGTGGCTTTGATGTGGGCCTCTCCAGGACTTAGCTCCCAGCTCAAGTCCTCAAGGTGCTTCAGCTTCCTCACCCTCACTTTCTCCCCTGGGGCTTGGCTACTGGGCTGGCCCTGTGAGGTCTGAATGAGGTATGTGGGGGGCGGGCTGCTTACATCTGACTCTTGATCTGCCTTGCCCAGGCCACCTACATCTACATGAAGGCCGCCTACCTCAGCATGTTTGGAAAAGAGGATTACAAGCCGTTTGGGGATGATGAAGTGGAGCTGTTCAGGTGGGTCCGTGGCCTCAGCCACATCTGCCCACAGCCACCCTGAGCTGTGGGCACCAGGGACGGAGGTGGCGGGCTTCTCACCTCCTCTGGCTCTGAGCTCCCTGACCCTCCCCCCAGGATGGCCCCGTGTGCCTCATCACCACCACTTCCTACTGCTGCTTGTTCCAGCCCTTTGAATCTGTTCAGAGGGCTCCCCGCCCCGCCCCGGCCTCAAGAAAGGGGTTTTATCAACATCCTTTCCACTGAGCCTCTTTCTTCTGGTCAGTGGGATAGATGTGTGGACACTGAGGTTCAGAGATCTGAGGTCCCTTCTGCTGAGTTAGCCAGCTCTACTCAGAGAAGCACAGTAGAGAACCAAAATGTGGGAATCGAACAGGATCAAATCCAGCCTCTGCCATTTCTTAGCTGTGTCACTGTGAACAATTTCAGCAGCTATAAAATGAGAATAACCACTTCTGCCTTGCAGGGTTGTTTTGTGAATCAAATAGAGACTATATTGAAGAGCCTGGAGTAGGGCCTGGAGCCACTGAATAGTGGCTGTTTTTATTCTTATCTGTGCTGCTGATTGCCTTGTGCGAAGGGTCTAGAGCAGGGCTCAGCCTCAGCAGGCTGAGGATGGAGCCTTGGGCCTTCTTCCAGTCCTGGGTGAGGGCTGACCCCAGCTTGCAGACCTGGGAGTGGTGGTAACCTGAGCTTCCCAGTAACTGCTGTCATAGTCGTAGGGTGTTTTATCATTTACCAAGTGCCTCCACTTCTCCATCTCACAGCTCTTCCAGAAAGCCTGGGACAGTAAGTATCTGTGGGGGAGGAAGGATCATTTTCCCTCTACATTTCTAGGTTCTTGGCTAGAGACTGGCTGAGATACTCCCCCCACCCCTAATAATAAAAGATTAACGGGAGAGAAATAGGCCAGAGTTTAATAACGTGTATACCTCCTGTATACATACATGGGCGAGACCCAGGAAAACTGAGTCACTGAAATGGCCCAAGCCATCACCTTAAATATCATCCCCAGCTAAACATAACAGAAGATGTTGGGAGGTGGAGAGCCAGTTCTGAGAGGTTTTCAGGCAAAGCACAGTAAAAGAGGGTAAGGTGGTCCTGCAGATTTAAGTCTCTGCTTTCTCCTTTAAGAGTTTCTAGGGCTTGTCGTCATCCTCTTTCAGGTACAGAGGAGAAAAGCCCTTATTATTGGGAGATCTCACTTATAAATGTAATTGTCTCTTACAAAAGGGCAGCTGCTACTAGGTTTTCAGAGCTTTTCCTGTATCTGCTGTTCCTTAACCAGCCTAACATAATCCTTATGCCAAAGAGGCATATTTCGGGGTGACAAATTCTCCCCTTCATATCACTATCTCCAATTCAGAGATGAGAAAACGGGGGCCCAGAGAGGTTCCACAGTGAATAAGCAGGGGAGGTGTTTGGCAGGGAACCTCACAACTAGATCCAGCTGGATGGCTCAGGCCTGAGGGTCACAGCCACACCCAGTGACTGTGGCAGAAATCGGAGGGTGGGAATGGAGCTGGGTGGGTGAGGCCCCAGATGTGGAGGCTTGCCAGCTGCACGCATGTTACTCTGCCCTTGGAAACAGCTAAGGAGGCCACAACTCACGTGGCAAGTTAATTAAAGTTTTGAGCCGTGCGGTTGTGGGCAGGTCCTTCCCTTTCTCTGGGTGTTAATCTCCCCTGTGGAACTGGGGTCAGACTTCTGCTGGGCCTTCTGGGCCTGAGAGTGGAAGCAAGACAACTAGCAAAGCAGGCCCGGGGTGTTTGCTGACATTCTCACCTCTGCCAGCTGGTGTGGAGGAGGCCTCTTACCTAGCCTTGGGAAGTGGTCAGGTTTGGGGACAGGGCCTGTGATATAAGGCCACAGCAACAGGCTGTTGAGTCCGACACAGTCCCTCATATAAACTGGGGAAACTGAGGCCCAGAGAGGAGCCAAGCAGAGGCTGAGCAGGCTGGAGATCTCAGTCCTCTCTAGCTTTTTTTCTTCCCCTCATCTCTTTCACAGAGCAGTGCCTGGCCTGAAGCTCAAGATTGCAGGGAAATCTCTACCTACAGAGAAGTTTGCTATCCGGAAGTCCAGACGCTACCTCTCCCCCAAACCGATCTCGTTGCCAATCCCTGCTCTGGTGGGTAGGAGGGTCTAGACTGTCCCTGTACTTCTTTGGATTGTGGGGATTAACTGAAAGCCAGAGATACTGCTACGGCCAGGGGGAAGTGGACGGGAGAGAAAGACCGTCATGCTCAGGGCCCTGAAAAGGATTTCACAGTTTACCTGGGACTGTGAGGGAAGCACACAAATATGCCAGAGCCAGCTCCTGCCTGAGAAAATACTGGTCTGGTGGGGGCAGGGAGACAGGTGAGCAGGCTTCAGGCGCCTCAAGGTGGGAGAGCAGGCCGCCCACACCCCTGTGCTCTGGCAAGGGCATCACTCAGCTGTTTGTGTTCCCACCCATCTGTTTCAGTCTCGTCACATGATTATAACTGTTTACACTGTCCCCCTCAATGGACCAAGTTTTTCTGAGGCCTAGGACCATGTTATAGGGCACTGACTGTGTTCTTTACACCCATTGCCTCATTTGATCCTCACAACAACCCTGAGAATCAGATGCTGGTGGTATCCCCATTTTACAGATGGGGAGAAGGCCTAATAGGTAAGTGGAGAGAGAAAATATCTAATAAATAGGTAAGATAAGTAGAAAGATAAAATAACTTGTCCAGGTCACACAGCTAGTGAGTTGAAGAGTTAGAATTTAAACCTAGAATGGTTCTAGAGCCCAGATTCTGAACCGCTGTTATGATGCTACTTCCATGCATGATTTGAGCAGGCATCAGAAAAGTTCCCAGTCGTTAAGAGTCTTTGTTATTCAAATAGTAAGGTAGCCAAAAAAGTGGAAAGGGCACTGCTTTTTTTTCTGGTCCTAGCTCCACTATTCACTAACAATGTGCCCTTGGATAGGGTTCCCCTTCCCTTAATGTAAGATTAGGAATCATATACATCTTGCCCATTTCATACAGCAGTAAAGAGAATTAGCTGATAAACTGTTAAATATTTTATGAATCAAAAACTGAATATCAATATACAGCTTATTATGTATCCTAGGTTATTTTCTAAACACATTTTGAAGCTGTTTATAGTTTAAAATGTACAATAAAACTTATGGGGGTGATGGAAAGGGCAAGAAGTGACTATACCAGAAATTTAGGAGAATTTCTCAAACTATAATCTGCAAAATGCTATTTATGCCTAAAATAGTTTCTGTGATTAAATATATTTGGGAAAGACTGGCCTAAACAAAGTTTATACACTGTGGACCTTTTGGAGCCTTCATATAATAATATGTATGGTAAGTCTCCAAGAATAAGCTTGAAGATGATTTTTTTTCCCCTTATTTGGCCACAGACCTCTTTCTTTAAAGGAACATTTGCTAACTTAGGACCATATACACCATTTGAGGAATACTGGTTCTAAACTTAAATTCCCTCCCTAGAACATAATAACAAGAACCAAAATAATATCTTTTTAGAACTTTTTGTATACAAATCACTTTCACATCTATTACCTGGTTTCATAGTTTAGGAAATGCTAATGGAATTACTATAACTGAACATTTAATTTAGAATTCTGAGATTCCTGGCAGTGGAGGAAAGAAAGGAATCCGATGTGTTGGTAGTTTTCATGATGGTAACTCAAGCCCACTGCCTTGGGAGAAGAGAGACAGGGTGACATGACAGTCTTAAGAGCTATTGGAAATCCTAAAGTGCTTAAGTAAATATAGTTCCTTCAATATGGGAGGGTTCTGCCAGATGAGCAGGGAGGAGGACTTCCTGGAGAATGTGGGTCATAGCCTGGTCCTCAAAGTATGGGGGAAGAGTCTGGACACAGAGGTTGGGAGAGAGCAGGATAACCACCCAGGGAAGCCACGAACAGAAGAGTAGTTAAAAATTATGTGCAGGGCGCCTGGGTGGCTCAGTTGGTTAAGCGACTGCCTTCGGCTCAGGTCATGATCCTGGAGTCCCGGGATCGAGTCCCACATTGGGCTCCCTGCTCGGCGGGGAGTCTG